GATAGGAGCTCAGATGGCAGATTATATTCTAAACCACCTTGTCATACCCTCGGCCTCTCTGTGTGCCTGGAGGAGCTGCACCAAGGGACGGGCGAGGCCATGGGGGTCAGGGGACTGTTCCTGCCTGTTCCCACCAGGTCCCCAGGTATGTTATATTTTATTATAAATTATTCTGTCACAGTTATCTTCTCTGGGCTTTGTACATTCATTTCTAAGCATTAGAAAATGTGAAGCTCACCTGAGCAGGATTCCTGAACAACACATGGGCCCCATGTGTGTCCCTGGCACAGCTCAGAGCATCCACACATGATGCTTTGAGGTGGGTTTTTTTCAGTAGTGTTGAGGTGTTTTGTTATTTTTGGGAGGGGCAGGTTGGCATTGGCTTTGGTTTGTTGCATTTTTACCCTCCAAAAATGTACAAAAATAACCTAGAAGACATTGCAATCCCACCCAAACACACCATTCCACCTGCCAAACTCCCTTCCCATCATCTCCCACTCTACCAATAGGAAGGAAAGAGCTTCCTTGAATTGTTTGGACCATGAAGTTGCTAAGAGGACTGGAGCATCTTCCCTACAAGGACAGGCTGAGAGAGTTGGGACTGTTCAGGCTGGAGAAGAGAAGGTTGTGTGGAGACCTCAGAGCACCTTCCAGGATCTGAAGTGACTCCAGAGAAGCTGCAGAGACTCATGGTTCAGAGCTGCAGGGACAGGACAAGGGGTAACGGATTCAAACCGAAGGAGGGAAAGTCTAGGTTGGATGTGAAGAAAAAATGTTCCCTGCGAGGGTGGCAGTGGCACAGCCCAGGGAGGCTGTGGCTGCCCCAACCCTAGCACTGTTCATTCCAGGTTGGATCAAACCTTGAGCAGCCTGCTCTGGTGGGAGGGGTCCCTGCCCAGGGCAGGGGGTTGGGGCTGGATGATCTCCAAGGTGCATTCCAACCCCTTACCATACTCTGATTCTATGCTAGTATGACACAGCAAAGGCTCAATAAACTGTGCTGCTGCAGTGCTCCAGCAGCAACAGATCTGCTGCCTGAGCTGCAAATGCCATGAAAATACAATCCCAAGCATGCTGATGGCAGATTCCTGCCTCCACAGGTAGGGGTTTACCAAGGGAGCTGTGCTCAGTTCTCTGTCAGAGAGCTGGAGTGAAGCTCCCCCATCTCCTGGTGGCTGAATTTCCTCTTCACTCGGCCTCATCCTGTGTTGGAGCTTTTCCCCTCCAGAGGACATAGCTGTGGGGGTGGCTGCACACCCAGTTCTGATGGCTGTGGCACAGGGAGGAGCTGATCCACCCTTGGTTCAGGTTGGCACAGGGCGCCTGAGCTCACGACTCAGACCTGCAACACCAACAGGCACAGGGTGAGAAAGGGAGGAAAAGAGGAAAACTACCCCCAAAAATGAAGGAAAGCTGAGCTGGCCACTTGAGGAGCAATCCAGCCACACTGAGAGGGAGCCCTGCCCCAGGGCACAGCACGGGCAGAGGGACTCACCTGGAGTCAAAGGCTGTGCCATTGACCAAAACCACCTGTCATGCCTCTTTTCCAGTCCCAACCAGAGGTTTGCTTCACCTTTATAGCACACAGTGAAGCCCTGTAAAGCAAAGCAATGTCAGGGTTTGGGCAGCCTTGCCTTCCCCAGCTCCTCTTTCCCACCTGTGTCCATCCCTGAGCCAGAGACGATCCTTTCCCCCAGGTGTCAGCTCCTGCTCCAGCTCTGGGAGCAGTTTGGGGCCAGGCAGCTTTGGGGCTGGTTTTGTGCTCTGTGTTTTGTTTCCCACTCTGGTGCTTCTGTAGAGGTTTAGGCCCAGTTTCCACCGGTTCATCCATGATGCTTAGGATGGCCAGTGAAGGTCCCAGAGCTCTGCAGTTCCCCTGACTTGTGGTCCAGTTGGCCTCAACCTCAGAGAAGTAATAGCATTTTCCTTGGAACCCAAGCCAGGTGTCTGGGCACACACAGGAGAATTCTGGCTCAGGGGAACAGGATTTCCCAACTGGAAAATAGCTGACACTGAGTGAGACACTTGGGCAGCCCCAAAGTGCAGGAAAATGGGACGGATCATGTTTGTAAGGGACAAACTGGGGATGATGCTCATGGGAAAGGGAATGGTGGGACCAAGTGAGGGGCTGAGCCTGGAGCTCAGGTTAGGGGGAGAAGGAAGTCACCCCCGAGGTGACCTCTGCTTGGGAGCATCCCTTGATGCTGGGAATGTGCTGGGATCCCTCATCTCCCCAAAACAGAGGTGCCTGGCCTGGATCCTCCCCACAGGGGTGCCTGGCTGGGACTCACCACACCATGCCACAGTCAGGCTGAGGCTGAGAATCACCAACACCACACTCAGAGGGAGGAGAACACACAGTCTGTGGGATCCTTTCCAGTCTGACTTGTTCCTGTTGGACCCTGGGGAGGAAAGAGCAGCAGAAGGGTGGGCTAGGTCCTTTCCCCTCTGCTCTGCCCTTCTCTGCTGGAGCCTCAGCCCATCCCGAGCCCTGGCCAGGACAGGAACCCTTTGGGGCTCGGGAGGGCAGCAGAGCTTGCAGAGGCTCCAGGTGCTGCCTGCAGGCAGGGAGAGCTGCTGGGGGTCCTGCTAAGGCACCCACGGGTGTTGGAGGACCTGGAGATGGATCTTCAGCCTCTAGAGGTGGCCACAGCATGGAATTTCGTCTGGGTGTGCCTGGGCTGCTCCACACCCACCCAAAGGAAGAGAAGCTGTGGCTGCCCCATCCCTGGGAGTGTTCCAGGCCAGGTTGGATGGGGCTTGGAGCAACCTGGGCTGGTGGAAGGTGTCCCTGTCCATGGCAGGGGGTGGGACTCAATGATCTTTAAGGTCCCTTCCAACCCAAACCACTCCATGATCCCACGGAAAGCTCCATCTCCATCCTACTGCTGCTCCCCTGCAGTGAGATGCTCTTCCCACCCCATGCCCTCACCCGGAGCGTTGGTTTTCCCAGCCTTACTCCATTTGGGCTCTTCTTCCAGAGCTCTGCAGGTTTCTTGGCACATTTTGGCAGGGAAGTGCTGGACTCAGGGCTCTCATTCACTGGTCTCTGTGGGGGTGAATCCACTTGGGTGCCCGTAAGAAGGACAAGGCTGAGGAGATCTGCAGGCAGCTGTGCCTTCCCTGTTTGCTATTGCAGAGTTTTGGGGGCTCATGCAACACCCCAAGCTGTCAGGGGCAAGAGGCACCAGGGGAAGCCATGGCAGGGCAGGTTTATCCGAGCTGAACAGGCATCCTGGGGAGGAGGCAGCAGAAAGTAGAGTCAGAGAGGGGGAAAAGAGATGGGAGGGAAAGAAAAATGACAAAAAAGGAGAGAGGAGAAGAAAAGACAAGTTGAAATATTAAGTGTAAGTTATTGACTGCTCATAGCTCAAGGGGAGTTGAAGTGTTTGTTGATGGAACAGGAGCCTGTTAAGGGATCAGGAGCTGTGGCTGCAGGAAGGAAGTGCAGATAAATCTTCTTTGGCCCTTTGACAAGGAGGAAGGAGCTGGGTTTAAGTAACACTGTTCTGTTGAGGTTTCTGTTTGTGGCTTCACAGTCCTCAGTAACACTGTTCTGTTGAGGTTTCTGTCTCACAGTTACTTACAATGTTGTGGCTTCACAGTCCTTGTTCCTGAGTGCCCAAAGCCAAACAAGCACAAACTGGTCCCTGTACCCAAGCCAAAGAGCTGCAGCAGCTTTTATTCCCTCCTGGGTTCTGTGTAATTTAGCAGCATAAACCATATAAATGACCATAAATATTTCCTAAGTAAACAACATTTCATTGCAGAAATAAGCTCTAAAGGTTCTGTTGTTGTTTTGGGTTCGCAGCAGAAAGGTCAGTACTGAGGGTGAGGTCAGACAAACCATTTCCTAAGCAGCTTTATCAGTGAGTTTAGCATCAGAGTCAAAAGGAAATATCCTAACAAGGGTGAGATGGGAAGGAGTTGTGATTCCCAATCCTGGAAGGCTCCCAAAGCTCAGCACAACAAAGCCCAGACCTTGTCCAAGCCCCAAGCAGGGTCTGAAACACTACACCCAGGTGTAAAGTAGTGACTTTTGGGTGTTCTTTCCCCAATCCCTTCGAAGTGCCATGTTTAGTCCATCAGTTGGTTATTGCAGACTCCCAAAGACAAGATCATTGCCTGGAGCCACAGACCTGTCCCAGCCCCAGCACAGCAACCAACCCTGAGATTTACAGAGCAGCAGTTCCTTTTCCACTACTCACCCTCTGAGCAGAGCTGACTGGAACAGCTCCAGGGGCTGTTTCTTTCCAAGAACTGTGCACAAAGAGTCATAACCATCACAAGGGAGGAGCAACAGATTCCTAGGGATCTCAATCAAACCCTCACTCTGCTGTACTGAGCAGCGTTGAACTTGTGTGCTAAGTTGTCTCCTTGCCAAAGAAAAAGACACCAAAAATCTCCCCAGGAAACCCTTAGTGGCTTTACCCTGACGTTCCCAGCCAAGGCAGATGTGCTGGGCTGGCCCTGGATGGTGCCACCAAAGCTGCTCTGTCACTCTCCTCACAGTGACAGAGACAGAATGCAGAAGGAAAGGCTCATGGCTTGGCTAAGGGCAGGGAGAGCTCAGGCACCCATCGCTGTCGTGGGCACAGCAGACCTGACTTGGGGAAAGTCATTGGATTTCTGAGCAAGCAAATCAGAGCAGGAGAGTGAGATGTAAAACAAAGCCCAAACACAGATATTTCCCCATCTCTCCCTCCTTCCCAGGAGTCACTCTACCCCTGATTCCCTCCCTCTTCCCTCTGTTGGCACAGGGGGAAGACTTGGAGTTACAGTCAGTTCATCCCATGTTGTTTGTGCTGCTGCAGCACCCACAGGGAGAGAAGTCCTTGTCCTGCTCCAGGGTAGGACTTCTCCCTCGTGGGTCCCTCCCCACACACTCAGTTTGTCACCAGCCCCAAAGCAGCCCACTTGGTTTAGTGATTTTGTGCAAACTTCTGCTTTCACTGCAATCAGTCACAGCCATCATCTACCTTAAACAGCCTCATCTCAACTCAGGAGTAGTTTTCCGTCCTGTTTCCCCTTCCCTGCAGGAAGTCAGGAAAGGCAGTGACATTTGGTGTCTAGTCAGGCTCAGCCCAGCATGTCTCGCTCACTTGGAGACTCTGAAACACAAAGAAGTTTCTGTGTTCATTCCTTTTGCTGAGCAAATGCAGCCGAGTGGAGGCTGATAACAGGGCGCTGGATGTGGGTGCTTTCTGCTCCATGTGACTTTGTACTCATTTCTGCACTCGTTTATCTGCCAGAGCTGAGCAGAAAGAGTTCCTCTTCAGGTCTGGGCTCTGATCACACCAACATGGCCCTAAATCCTCCGTGGCTACAGCCCCCACGAGGTGCTGAGCTTGGTGCTGTTTGTCAGGGAGCAAAAGAGCCTGAAGGAAAACCAGCCCTGAGACCTGAAGAAAATGCCCCAAGGAGGAGAAGGTACAAGACAGAGTCAAACCCAGTGGGAAAAGCCTGTGGAGCACTGGAGATGAGGAGGAAAACTGTGAGGAGACTCCCCATGGGTGTCAGTGCAGGAGGGTTTGAGCTCTGGCTGCCTGAAACAGCTTCTTTCACCCCAAAACCAAAGGAGGATGTTTGTCAGGGCCTAGGAGTTCTATGGACACTCACCAGATCCTGGTTCATCCCATTCCTGCCTCAGGGAATGTGAATGTCTTCATTGCTTGCCAAGAGATGGTCCCAGGCTCCTATGAGCAGCTCCAGATGCATTTTTATTCCCTATGGGACGTGTTAGCGTTTGAGTCCAATCCATCATCTCTTGTTATCATCCCCCACCTGTTTCCACCTCCAAACTCTCCTGGCAACCTGTCATTGGAGGTACAAAGGCTTCAGTTTCCCTGGAGACCCTTTGGACTTTGGATGCTTTTTGCATGGCCATTTGACTAGCAAATCAATGCTGCTCAGAGCAGCAGCTGCTTTTGTCCAGCTCAAGCTGGAGAGAAACTAAACCAGAGGAGATGAACATTATCAAAGAAACCAAAAGGGAACAGATTTGGCCCTGGTTGTTTCCTTCCTGTGGAACAGAAACCCAGAGTTTCTGTTTTGTGTTTCCTGCCTTGCCAGGTACACTCCTGCACTGGGATGGGAGCACCAAAAGCTGCTAGAATGAAAGTGCCCTGCACATTCCAAGCACATTCCATCCCTGCTCTTTGCTGCTGGTTAAAAGCAGCTTGGAAAGACAATAATGTCTGTACTAGTCCATGGCAAGGACAGCACTGCCCTGGCAGCAGGGGAAGATGAGGAGGAAGAGAAGGAGGAGGATGTCCCCAGTGGGATAAAGCCTTCAGCACCTTCCTGTCTGACCCCAAACTGCTTAACACCTTGAGCAAGCAGCTTCACTGTGGGAAGTGTCTCTCTGTGGGCTGCCACAGCGCAGGGAGAGCAGCGCGACGTGACACAGCAGCAGCGAACGTGAGGTCTGACCTGGGAGTGAAACCCCAGAGAGGCACAAACCACCATCATCTTCCTGTCTGACCCCAACCTACTTCACACCTTGAGCAAGCAGCTTCACTGTGGGAAGTGTCTCTCTGTGGGCTGCCACAGCGCAGGGAGAGCAGCGCGACGTGACACAGCAGCAGCGAACGTGAGGTCTGACCTGGGAGTGAAACCCCAGAGAGGCACAAACCACCATCTCTGCTGGGCTCAGAGCTCACTCCTGCTCCAGAGGGGACAAACCTGCTCTTTGTCCCGAATCCGAACGCCGCAGGGGAAGGAACCAGCCATGGTGCTGACCACTGTCTACACCACCTCTGGCTCGGCTCCCGGGAGGGTCCCTGGTAAGTGATGTCCCTCGGCACAGCAGGCACTGTGCCCCTCTCCTCCTGGGCTCATGGGGGTCCTGCTCGGTGGGGGATGGGTTTGGGAGGGGTTGGTGGCTCATGGGGGTCCTGCTCGGTGGGGGATGGGTCTGGGAGGAGTTGGTGTCCCTGATGTGGCTGCATCCCTGTCCTGTGGGAAACCACAGGGAAGAACAGACTTGCCATGGTTGATGTTGGCCAAAGTCAATGCTTTGCCCTTGAGCAACGTCCCTACCCACCCCCAGCCTGGGGCAGAATGTTTGCTCAAATGGATTCATCCCTATTTCCCAGTTTTCCTGGCAAGGACATGCAGCCAGTGCCCAAGGACCCTCCCACCATGCAGAGCTTCACCTGCTCATCTCTCTGCAGCTCAGCGAAGGTCGTGCCGTGACCAGACGCCTCTCCCCATCCCTGCAAACATCCCAAGGGCTTTGCTCTGCAGCCTTCCCATCCCCAGGACACCTCTGGGTGCAGCATGGGGAGGAGAGGGAGGAACTGCTCTGAGGCTCTGCAGGTTTGCTCGGACAAGTGAACCTTGTGGGTTTTCTTGGCTCCGTTGCTCCCTCAGACTCTGGTGAGGTT